TTATGATTTTACTTTTATTATTTTATTTTTAGTGAATTTATACAAACAGTAATGTAGGCTAACTATGGATTATGTGAATATTGGGGAGGCATACAAACTCAACTGCCATTGAGTCGATTTGATTCATAACGACCCTTCCTTGGGTTTCCAAGGCAGTATCTCTGTGGAAATAGATTTCACACTCTTCCTTCCGAGGAGTGGCTGGGGGGTTTGAACTGGCAGCCTTCTGGTTAGCAGTCAAATGCCTTAGGCACTATGCCACCAGAGCTCCCTATATGAATGTGTATGTGAATTATATGAAAACAGGGCATTCGTATAAAGATCTGAATCTAAACGTGATAAAAGATTTAACCTACTATTTTAATTAGTACTATCCTAAAATTATTTTGGTATGCATTTCTAATTTTAATCAATTATGGATAAGGAGAAATTCATGGGGGTCTTTTGGGGGGCATATTTTTCAGGTTCGCTTAACACCTAGTGGTAGTAACATGAAAATTCTTCAGCCACATGTAATAGCTATACGGAGAAATTATCTTCCAGCATTAAAGGTGGAATATAGCACATCTGCACATCAGTCATCATTTAGAGTTCAGATTTACAGAATACAGGTAAGTCTTCCTGAAAGGCAAATTACATTCTAAAGGAACATCGTCAGAAAGCAAATGTATTCCTGCTTTATTCTTATACTTCAGTTTGAGCACTGGGCTAGATTTTTTATTTTTTTAATCTAGTTATTCTAGTATAAATGGCTTGTATAATTGACATATTAATATACTGACCTGTTCTTGATTTTTTTAGATCCAAAACCAGATACATGGTGCTATATTTCCATTTGTGTTTTATCCTATTAAACCTCCCAAATCGATCACCATGGATTCAGGTTTGTTCTTAATTTTAGATGGCCATGAAAATAGTTGTATTAGCTATTTGATTAATTTTCTTTGTAAATGTGTGAAATGAAACCATTCTCAAGTTTAGTTTCTTTTGCATCATAGGAAAGTTAAACTGCTTGAGAAGGACCAACAAGTCAATTAACTTCAACAAGACTGAGTGATTTCTGAATAAAAGATTAATTAGACCTATATATATATTTACAATTAGTAATTTTAAAAAATAGATTACTGATTTGCAAACCTCTGATTTAAAAGCCATTGGAACCTTTTAATAAGCAGTGAGGAAGTTTAAATTCACAGTGTTTTCAAATGGCAGAAACTTTTGTTTTTCAGATGAGTATAGTTGACAAGTTCTTTTCCACCCTCTTCTGCTTTTCTAGGATGTCTCTCTTAAATCAACTTTCTCTTCCCTCCCTCAACCACCATGCTTTTCTCCCCTCATTGGCTTTAAACTCTATGGGGTGCACTTCAGAATCTGCTTGAAAGTATTTTGACCAACGTGGGTACCCACGCCTCTCCACCTGGCATTCTGGGACAGGACCCTGGAATCTGAGCTTTTGCAAAAGATTCTCTGACAATTCTAATGCATACTAGTATTTTAAGACACTTATTTAAATGAGTAGAGTGAATATTGTGATTATATTTAATTGAAAACATAATCCTGGAATCTAAAATTAAAATTGTGATGAATCTTAAAAATAAGAGTACTTTTCATTGATACTCATGATTTGTTAAATAATTTTATTACATTGTGATACACAGTAAATTGCTAGGAAATGCTTATCTTCTGCTTATAGTACCAAGAGATTAATTATGTTTATTAACTTTTCTAGCACCAAAGCCCTTTACAGATGTCAGTATTGTCATGAGATCTGCAGGACATTCCCAAATTTCACGTATTAAGTAAGTGTATTAATAGAGTTCTTTTGTATTCATTTGAAGTTTTTATTTAAATATATGAGTTAATTATACTCTTTAAAATTAAATTTCAATGAATCAAAGACTTAAATGTAAAATGTTAGATTATAAAAGTTATACAAAAAAATATTAATTATTTTATAACTTTGGAGAGTTAGAGGGCTCTGGATGAAATACGTTGTTTTAGGTGTGGTTGAATCAGCTCCAACTCATAGCTACCTTATGTACAACAGAGTGAAACACTGCCTGGCTGTGCACTGTCCTCACAGTCCTTGCTGTACTTGAGCCCATCCTTGTAATCACTGTGTCAGTCCACCTTATTGAGGGCCTTCCCCTTTTTCCCTGACCTTCCACTTTACCAAGCATAATATCCTTCTCTAGGGAATAGTCCCTTCTGACAGCATGACCAAAGTAGGTGAGATGAAGTCTGGCATTCTTGCTTCCAAGGAGCATTCCAGCTGCACTTCTTCAAGGACAGATTTATTCATTCTTTTGTCAATATTCTTCATCAGCACCACAACTCAAAAGCATCAGTTCTTCTTCATTCTTCCTTATTCATTGTGCAGCTTTCATAAGCATATGAGGCAATTGGAAATCCGATGGCTTGGGTTAGGTACCTCTTAGTCTTCAAAGTGACATCTTTGCTCTTCAGCACTTTAAAGAGGTCTTTTGCAGCAGATTTGCCCAGTGCAATATGTTGTCTGATGTCTTGACTGCTGCTTCCATTGGTGTTGATTGTGGATCCAAAAAATATGAAATCTGTGACAACTTCAGTCTTTTCTCCATTTATTGTGATGCTGCTTATTGGTCGGGTTGTGAGAATTTTCATTTTGTTTATATTGAGGTGTAATCCATACTGCAGACTGTAGTCTTTAATCTTCATCAGTAAGTACTTCAAGTCATCTTCACTTTAGCAAGCAAGGTTGTGTTGTCTGCATATTGTAGGTTGTTAATAAGTCTTCCTCCAATCTTTATGCCACGTTCTTCTTTATATAGTCCAGCTTCTCAGATTATTTGCTCAGCATACATGGTGAAAAGACAAAATATACCTAGGTACTAATAATAGTTCTTTCTAGATTATAGATATTTTATTATTTTTGTTTCCTTATTTGTGTTCTCAAATTGTCTATCATCCAAAAAAACTCACGACCATTGAGTTGATACCAACTCATAGTGACCCCATTAGGGTCCAAGATGGTAAATCTTTACCAAAATAAGTTTGCCCCATCTTCATTCCGAGGAGCAGCTGGTGGGTTTGAACCTCCAACCTTCTGGTTAGCAGTCAGATACCTTAGGCACTGTGCCACCAGAGCTCCTTAAATTGTCTATAATGACTATGTTATTTTAGAGACAAACCAAAAACCAAACTCACTGCCATGGAGTTGATTCTGACTCATAGCAACCCCTAGTGGGTTTCCGAGCCTGTAAATCTTTACGGAAGTATATCGTCCCATCTTCCTTCCATTAAGCAGCTGGTGGATCATGAACTGCTGACCTTAGCAGCCACATGCCTTATCCATTACACCACCAGTGTAGCGGTATTTTAGAAATGAGATAAAAAAAAGATCAAAAATAAATTTTTCATACTCACTATCCAATCTAAGAAAGAGAACATTTACATTAATCTCCAACTATGAGTTACTCCTTAAACCCTTGCTTTCTTTTCCTTATCACTGTGATAAACACTATCCTTTTCCTTTGCTTTTTAAAAATACAGTTTTGTTTTATTGTATGTATTTGGGCACCTAAAATTACTTTTTAATTTTTCATTTGCTTTTAATTTTTAAAAAACTGTTTCAAGCTATGCTTGGGCCTTTTATTATTATTATTATTCAGCTCTTTTACTAAAATGTGTGAATGTTGTTGCTTGTAGATCTGTTCATTGTCACTGATGTGTAATATTGTATTGTATGACTATATTCCATAGTTTACTCATTACTTTTCTTTATATGGGAATTTGGATATTCTAATTTTTACTATTTATTAACATGTTGCCATGACTATTTTTTATTCATTTATCTAAATATTCCTAAGTTTCAAAGTCCTAATATTTATCTAGTTTTTTTCTCATCTACTTACTATATTTTTAATATTTTCTACTTACAGGTATTTCAAAGTGTTGATACAAGAAATGGATCTCAGGCTGGATCTTGGGTTTGTGTATGCTTTAGCAGAACTTATGACGGAAGCTGAAGTGACTGAAAAAACAGAGGTAAGACTTACTATCGTAGCATTTGATGGGAAAGATTAGAGAAAGGGGAGGGCTAGAAAATGAAATATTATAGTAAATTCTTAAAGACTTTAATTTTTTCCATTTAAAAAATATAATTTAAAAAATGTATTATGCTATTGTAGTAAATACATTGGTAGAAATCATGTTTTGAGATTATAGAAGATAGAAGCAACATGAGCAACAACCTTTTTAAGTTCAGTTCTCAAATATAAAGTGTTTGGGGCCAATAGTAGGGACAGAAGGAAGTCAGTCTTGTTAATATTATTGCTAATCTTTTTTTCCTTTATTGCCGTGGGTTACTTTGTGGACTTTTGCTTTGATTAATAGTTTAGAAATTTGGGTATGACCAGGATATTCCATGGCTAAAGCACTAAAGCACAAAGTTAATGGAAGGAACAACTCAGAAAAGGATGGTGGGAATGATTGCCCAACTGAAGAATGTAATTTGTGTCACTGAATTGTCCATGTAGAAACTGTTGTACTGGTGTATGTTTTGCTGTGTATATTCTTGGCAACAATAGCAAAGGGAAAATAATACAGAATCTTCATGACTGAGTGACAGACTACAAAGTCACAGCAATATGGTGAAAATATGTTCTCTTTTACGTGCCTTCATAGCATGATTTCTTAGGATGAGGACCGAATGCACAGATAGAGACAAGATCTAACAGGCTTTTTTAAAATCTTTTTTTTTTAATAGCTTTCTTGAGATGTATTTTACATATCATACAACTCATCAATTTAAAGTGATTTTTTGTATATTGACAGATACATGTAACCACAGCCAGTTTTAGAATATTTTCATCTCCTCAGAATATTTTCCCATCACTTTCCTATCCTCCCATTGCCCCAGCCCTAAGCAACCATTAATCTACTTTATGTATCTCTGGAGTTGCCTGTTTGGACATTTCATATGAATTGAACCATAGAACATGTGGCCTTTTTTTTGACAGACTTCTTTCATTTAGCATGATATATTCTAGGTTTATCCATGTGGTGGTATGGAGCATTACTTCATTCCTTTTTAATGGCCGAATAATAATACTGTATTATATGGATACTACCACATTTTGTTTATCCATTCCTCAGTTAATGGACATTTGGGTTATTTCTACCTTTTAACAATTATGAGTAGTGCTACTATGAGCATGTAGGTTTTATTTATTTTTGCTTGGGTTCTACCTGGGAGTAGAATTGCTGGTTTATGGTACCTAACCCAAAACCCATTTGTGTCAAGTCTCTTCAAACTCATATGACTCTATAGTACAGAGAAGAACTGACCCATAGAATTTTCGAGGCTCTAAATCTTTGCAGAAGCAGACTGCCACATCTTTCTCCCACAGAGTGACTGGTGGGTTTGAACCACTGACCTTTCAGTTAGGAGCCACCAGGGCTCGTTCGGGTTGTATAGTAATTATATTTAATTATTTGAAGACTGCCAGACTATCTTCCAAAGCATCTGTACTACTTTATATTCTCACTAGCAATATATGAGAGCTCCAATTTCTTTAAGTTTTTGATAACACTTGTTATCTCCTATCTTTTTTATTCTAGCCATCCTAGTGAATATGAAATGGTATCTCATTGTGGTATTGATTTGCATTTCCCTGAAGACCAGTGATGGCAAGCATCTTTTGATATGCTCCTTGATCATTTGCATATCTTCCTTGGAGAAATGTCTATTCAGATCCTTTACCTATTATTGAGTTGCAAGAGTTCATTATATATTTTGAGTAATAGTCCCTATCATATATGTGATTTGTGGATACTTTCTCCCATTCTGTGGGTTATCTTTTTACTTTCTTAATGTTGGCTTTTCAGGCGATAAGCTTTACATTTTGATTAGGTCAAAATTACCTATTTTTTCTTTTGTTATTTATGCTTTTAGTGTCATATCTGAGGTGCCAGTTTTTTTTTTTTTTTTTTTTGCCAAATCAGAGATCATAAAGATTAAATCCTGTTACCTTATTTTCTAAGAGTTTTCTAGTTTTAGCTCTTATATTTAACTCTTTGATCCATTTTGAGTTACTATATGTGTTGTTGTTATGTGCCGTCGAGTCGGCCCCGACTCATAGTGACCCCTCCTTGGGTTTCCGAGGCAATATTACTATGGAAGTAGATTGCCCTATCTTCCTTCCAATGAGAGGCTGGTTGGTTTGAACCACCAGTCGTCTTGTTAGCAGTTAGGCACTGTGCCACCAGAGCTCCCATATACATACATACATATATGTATATCATGTGAGGTAAGAGCCCACACAGCATCATTCCTTGGCATGTGATTGATTGGTTCTCCTAGTCCATTTGTTTAAAGAATTCTGTTCACTTTTCTTCATTTTTTTTCCTCTTTCTTCAGATTGCATAATCTATTTATCTTGCTCATTTTTTTCTTGTGATAGTTCAAATCTACTCTAGAGTCCTTTTAGTGAATTTTTCAATTCAACTCTTATAATTTTCTTTTTTTGTGTCCATCCCTCCATGCACTCCTGCCCCTGAGCTGTCTCTCTGTGCATAAACAACACTTCTTTCTCCCATGATTATTTTCTCGAAGGAGTGTATCTACCTCAGGTAAATGTTCAACTCATATGCCTCTCTATTGTTTGGCTGGAAGCCACTGGCATGGGTTCAATTCCAGACCTGAAGGGCAGCTAGGTGCCATAGTATCAGTGGTTCCACCAGGCTCTATTGGACCAGCTAACCTGGTCCCCCCCCCTTTTTTTTTCTCCAAATGATTTTGAGTTTTGTTCCACATTGTTCTCTCTCTATATCCAGGATCTCCTACATAGATCCCCTTCCAAGTGATTGACAGTAGTAGCTGGGCACCATCTAGTTCTTCTGGTTTCATAGTCATATAGGCTGCAGATCGAATGGTGTACCAGTCCCTAGGACTGATTGTTTCCATGAATTGTTGGTTTTCTTCATTCTTCTTTGCTCTGGATGCGGAGAGACCCATTGTTGCATCTAGATGGCAGCTTGCAAGCTTTTAAGATCCCAGTCGCTACTCACCAAAGTAGGAGGTGGAACAATGTTTTGTGTAGTATGTTATGCCAATTGAGCTTGATGTTGTCTGCGACTATGGGACCATGCCCACAGGTTCAACTACTCGGTCCTTCTGGGTAGCTGGCTGTGACCAAGCAGTGACTACAAACTTCCCCCTTGTCAGCTCTACTATACACCTGGGAATTCAGATCATACACAAAAACTTATAGGACCATTGTCTGCCAACCCTGTACATGTTCTTGGGTACACTCCCTGCTTCATTGTTGTTGTTGTTGTTGTTATGTGCCATCAAGTTGGACCCAACTCATAGTGACCCCTCCTTGGGTTTCCGAGGTAGTATAACTACGAAAGTAGATTGCCCCATCTTCCTTCCGAGGAGTGGCTGGTGGTCAACTGTCTTTAGGCACTATACTACCAGAACTCCTCCCCACTCCATAGACATACCTAATAGTTCAGCCTGTACACCCATCTATCCACCCATATACCCATATTTGCCTTCACTGACAACACAGTGCTATATGTGCAAAAGGGTTCATTTTTGTTGTCTATACCTCCCACATACCTCTCTATGTCTTTCTCTTCCTCAATGCCACCATCTTGATCACTCACATTTGGTACATTGCCCTTCTCCTCACCCAAATCAATACTTATCTCTATCTGTGTTCCCTCCCCCCGCCCCCCGTAACCAACAAAGAAAATTTCCTTCCATAGATAAATTTTTCCTTGACCTTTACAATAACGGACTAATCCAATATTTGTCCTTTTGTGATTGACTTATTTCACTCAGTGTAATGTTCTCCAAGTTCATCTGTGTTATGCGGTGTTTTGCAGATTGTACATTATTCTTTAGCGTTGCATGGTATTAATTACATTATGTGTATGTACTATAGTTTGGTTATCCATTCCTCAGTTGATGGACAGCTAGGTTGTTTCCATCTTTTGGCTATTGTGGATAGTGCTGAAATGAACATGGGTGTGCGTATGTTGTCATGGCTCTCA